CAAGGGAGGCACTCGGAGCCTGGAAGGTGGTCGGCGCAGGGAGGTGGGCGGCTCAACGCAGGAGCGCCCCCTACTGGCCCGCCACAGTCCCAATCTCTTGTCACATTGGTCCTAGCAGTAACTCCCTTGATGAGCTGAGCCCAGCATAGTTTGGGCATCACAGGGATCTTTGGCTTAGGTAAAAGCAGCGTTGGTGCAGAGCAGGTGGGGAGATCAAGGGGAAGGAAGAGTAAATGAGGCTCAGAGAGAGAGGATAGCAACCAGGTTGACCATACCAGTTATTTATTGCCAGTATATGCACTTACGCTGACACCAGAAGTATCATAGTAGCTAGGATCAGGAGGGACCTGAACAGATCATCTCGCCTGACCCCCTGCCACAGGCAGGAATGAATGCTGGGTTCACAAGACCCCAGACAGGTGATCGTCCAACCTCCTCTTGAATTTGCCCAAGGCAGGGGCGAGGACCACTCCCTGGGAACTTGGTTCCAGATTTTAGCAACCCTAACTGTAAAATATTGCCTTCTGATCTCCAACCTAAACCTGTTCTCCATCAGTTTATGACCATTATTCCTCAAACAAAGTAACAGCCACACAAGAGAGACAAATACACCAGTTACAATATTACATAGTATCAATGAGGTATTTGGGGAAGTCTAGCTCAAATTTGATTAGCAATAGTCGGGTTTCGAAAGCTGTGCTGCAGTAAGGGCGTAGAGGTCCAGTTCCTGGCGCCGGGGAGAGAGCTGGGTCTCACCGCTCAGCGCATCTGGACCCAGTCGAGGTTCCCGGGTGCTGCTGGAGCCCCAGACGGGCAGAGCCCCTGCGTGATCGGTGCAGGGATCCGGGCAGGAAAGCAGAGGACCTGGTGCAGCTTTTGGACCCAAGCCCCAGGACACAAACTTGAGCCAGGGTCGGGGTTTTGTAGAAAACTAGCCATGGCCCGAGGGAGAACTCGAGGTGTGTTCATGGGTACAGGACGGCTCGTGCGCTGGATCACAGGAATGATCACTGCTGGCTGTGGGCGGCACTGCTCTGGGGAAGCTCACAGTACAGACAGGTGGATTCAGTGCTTGGGCACCAATAAAGGAGTCATCGCTAGAACTGGTCTGATAACTACTGAGCTGGGTGTGTGCAGACATGGGTTGATAAGTATTTGAAACAGGGATCCCCACCGTGCAGTGCTCCCGGCTGCTCTGGTCCCAGCGCTCAGTGCGGTCCTTGCCTTGGACTCCCTGCTCTCCATCCTGGATGGTAATGAAGGGGGTTTCCTGTCCCATCTCCTGCATCAATGAGTTGTCATCCGGCTCCATCCCCCATGTCACTGAGACCAGGGGAGGTGCATCACTCCTATCGCCCTTGTCTGGAGGGTTCAGATGCATCTCCCTCTGCATCCCCCTTGTCTTTGTAAATCCTTCCTCTCATCAGTTCTGGTTCAGGCAAAGGTGGGAAGGTGGGGGGTCCCTTGGGAGTCAGACAGGCTGTGTCCTGTGCCAGGGTCCCCAACAACACGGAGCTGAGTGGTAACATGCCGTGCCCTGCGCTGTCTCACACCCGTCTCTCCCCTCCCTGCAGGCTCCCAGCTGCGGGTGGTGACAGACCCCTCCTCCCAGGCTCTGCTGGGCACTGAGGCCTGGCTGCGCTGCCACTTCGATGTCGGGGGGCCGGTGGCCCTGCGCTCGCTGCAGGTCACCTGGTCCCTCTGGGACGAGAGAATTGCGCAGTACAATGAGGCTGGGAGCTGGGCCCAGCCCGGAGCAAGGCTGGTGGAGAAGCAGTTGGAGAAGGGAGACGCCTCCCTGGAGCTGGTCAAAGTCACAGTGGGACACGAGGGGCTGTACACGTGTATCGTGGGCTACGGGGCGCAGCAGCAGCAGGGCAGCACCAGCCTGCGCGTGCTCGGTGAGGGCCGGAGAGGGGCCCCGCGTGCGTCCCCGGTGGCCGTGAGCACCGGTGGGAGCCGAGGACCTCCTGGGAACGCCCCCGGGCTGGTGGTGAGGCCTCCCCACAACAGGC